TGACTCGGGAGCAATAACCAAATACCAGGCTGCCGGAAACCTATTTGACCACTAAAACCACCAATCCCGAATATCAAGCCTATGATACATTAACAAAAACTGCCATGAGAGCAGTGTACATCTATGATGAGCATAACATCAACCAAGGCTAAATTAAGAAAAATCATGCCTTTGGCAAAGAGCATGAAGCTCCCCAACTCTACAAAAGAAGGCAAGTGTCAACAAGAAGAAAATCAGCGTTGAATGTAAGGAAATGTAATTTTCTAGGTGAGCCCCGGAGGTTTTCTGAAGCTATCCGAATATGTGCTATATTAGTTTGGGGTTATCAGTCACAGGAGTCCTTATGCCTACCGGGAACCACGAACCAGAACCTGGTCCCCTCAGAGAGGTGCAGGGAGCAATGGCCTATGAACGCTTTACATTTAAAGTGGCATAGCTGCCATCAACTGGGGAAGAACACAGAATGGTAGGCGAATCAAAACAGAAAAAAACAGAGTTGAATGTAATGACATGCCATTTTCTGGATGAGACCCGGAGGCTCCCTGGAGCTAACTGGGCTGATGCGAATGTATTAGACCCTGGCATCAGTCAATGCACATGGAGTTCTAGGCCTACTGGATGCCACGAGCCAGAACCTGGTCCCCTCTGAGACACGAGGAGCAATGGCCTATAGAAACCCCCATGTGGTTGGAAGCATTCTGTCTGCCATCGACCGGGTTAGGCACCCAGAAAGGTAAGCGCACTAAAACAAACCCCCTATTCTGGTTACAATACTGCTACTGAAAGCCGAACTAGTGGACAGAACTCCCCAAATGAACACGAGCAAACGAGCATGGCGTCACTACGTCGCCGCTGTCTGTGCAACACCCCCTCCCCCTCCCCGGGAGGGGGAAGGGAAGTCCCAGATCCCCATGCCGGTTATCCACCCTGCAATTCTGGCCCACAGTCCATTTGGTCACCACTTGGTCCGGGAGACATCTCCCGTTACGCAGGGTGCAGTTGCACCTCCACAGATCTCCAGTATCAGCTCTTGATACTGGTAATGGCTCAAAAGGGCCACCACTTACGGGCTATTCATGCCCGTGCCACCTTTTCGATGGTTTAATCGTCATCTTGGACATATTCATGGGAGACATCTCCCGTCACGCTGAGTGCACTTGCACCTCCACAGATCTCCAGTATCAGCTCTTGATACTGGTGATGGCTCGAAAGGGCCACCACTTACGAGCTATTCATGCCCGTGCCATCTTTTGGGTGGCTTCATCTTCATCTTCTTCATCTGTTTAAAACACGGGAGACATCTCGCGTCACGCTGGGTGCAGTCGCACCTCCACAGATCTCCAGTATCATCTATTGATACTGGTGATGGCTCAAAGGGCCACCACTTACCAATTCATGCCCGTGCCACCTATTGGGTGGCTTCATCTTCATCTTAACACATTCACAAGGGAGACATCTCCCATCATGCAGGGTGCATTTGCACCTTCACAGATCTCCAGTATCAGCTCTTGATACTGGTAATGGCTTAAAATGGCCACCACTTACGGGCTATTCATGCCCGTGCCACCTTTTGGGTGGCTTAATCTTCATCATCATCATCATCTGCAATTCTGTGGCTGCGTGAAATGGCAAGGTGGTGCATCTCTGATTCCTGTGTTTCCAGTTCTGTCCCTTTTGGTGTGGTGGTGTGCAAGCCAGGTATAATTTCACAAGTACTCGGGCTGCATGCGCCTATGGTCCATCAGCCCAGGACATGTTCCCAAACATGGCAGCCAATGAAGCAAACTTCCTAATGTAATTTGCACGAGGACAGGCTGGTTTGACTGTTAACCCTATGGACGACCTGGGAGACCCAAGCGCTGCAACAGGGAACGAGGGAAACCAGATCAACCCAAAGCGCATTCTCAGCCACTGAAGCCGAAGCACGCAGATAACGACAAAAAGCTGCAAACTGGATACAACACATGATGCACCCTAGGCCTGATCAACCCAACCAAGCATCAATGACCCAAGGACCCCTCCAGAAAGCAGCCGCTTTGTTCTTCGGCAGAAAAGAAGGCTGCAACTGAACAAACCGACCACCGGGACCGAAAGAACAGAAATCCCTGCGCCAGTGGAGAGCATGAAACTCACCGACCAGACCCCCAGAGCCCAATGCCAACAGAAACAGAGCCTTGGAAAAATAATCTTGAACCAAAGGAGCCATCCTGTCCAAGGACCAGGATGGCTCAGGCAGCACATGAGCAGGACAGAGGTGAAACAAAGCTCGAGAAAGCTTATGGAACTTTTGGTATTGTTTAAGCGCCAGAGCAGGATTAACATCCATCCTGAACACAAGCTGGAGTGGCTCCACCAGCGTCGCACGATATGAGGTGACAGTAGTAGGCATCAAATGACGGTCCTGAAAGAGCCAAGATAGAAAGGACAAACAACCCAATTAGAAATAGAAAACGAGAAGAAAGAGAAAATGGCAGAAAGAATGCCAAGAAACTTCATACTGCTGCCGAGACGAAGCACGCAGCTGGGACACCACCAACAAAGCCACCTAATTACCATACAAATGGTGATAAACTCGCGTCAAAAAGACCATACGCGAAGAGCGAAGAGACTGAACCAGCTGCGTACCTAACCGGTCTGACTTGCTGGAAAACATCCCAGGTTCACACACCGGGCAAGCAGCGCCTGGAACCAAGGCTGAGCCGGCCACCCATGGGCCACAAGGACTGTTCTCCCTTGGTAGGACTCCAACAGAGCCAGAACCCAAAGCAACAGCTAGACCGGGAGGAAGAGGTACAGGTAACCCCCACCTCAACCAGTCCTGCTGACGCGTGAATACACGAGGTGCCAGATTCAAGTCAAAAGGAAGGCAACGAAAGCGGTAAGCCTGATGCCCCACCACAAAACCTAACCAGTCCCTGAACCCTGGAAGAATAAGAACATGCCAATACGCATCCTTGAGGTCCAAGGACACCATCCAGGCACCCGGCTCCAAAAGAAGCCGGACCTGAGACAGAGTGATAATCCGAAAGGACGGGTAATAAATTCCAAGAGTTCAGCCGGGAAAAATTTAGAATGAACCTTAGATCTGCACAGTCCCATTTTGGGACTGGAAACAGGTGGGAAACCCACCTGAGGGATGAAGTCATTTTGACCACGCCCAAGTGCACCCACTCCAAGATGGCCTGATGAAGCGCAGGGGGAAGAAGCCTGCCCCACCAACCCCGAACCCTCTTGCTAGATGGGACTAAGACCCAATTTAGTCCAAAGAAAACCAAGGACCCCCCCCTCTTTATCCAACTCACCATGCCATGAAAACCAAACACAGAGGATCTGGGGCAGAGCCAGTGTCCACACCCACCACCGGGATAGAAAAGCAGAGCCAAAGGGGGAGGTCTAAGAAGATGATGCTGGCTGGGAGAGGAAAATCCCAACATCTTGGAGGGAACTGGCCAGAATAACTGCTTCTGCACTTTATGCCTTTATCAATTATATGATAAGGAGTGCTGGGAAGATGGATCACCACAAGCATAGCTCTCATCCTGTAACTATACTTAGGTAATTACACTTAAGTAATTAACCAAACTTGAAGGAGCCACATCCGGGGCTAAACCCTACCGTGACTCAGAAACCCTTGGTTGTTTTGGAGGTGGAAGCAGGGAGGGAGGGGAATAATGAACAGAAGCTGGCAAACCAAACCCAAAGGAGAAAGAAGAGAAGGTTCAGACAGAGCCAAGGTGGAGTTCAACACCTCCAATTTTTGGTCCTTAAACACATAGTGGGCCAGCTCTGTGGTATCCAATTGGGCACACAACCTAGACCACTTAAGGCAGGCAAAAAACAACCTGCAAAATGGATGCTACCTCATATGCGTGATCATCATTAGGAGGGTCGGGGAGAGAAAAAAAAAAAAGTCAAATGGAGAGAGCAAACTCCACAGGACTCGGCTCTGGGTTACAGGTGTTGTCACCCCAGTAGGCAGAATGGTGGAAGAAAGAAGTCCAAGGAAAAAACTCCAAGGATAGTTGCACTTAACTGAGTAGCAATGGGACCCGCTACGGGGTGCTGACGACCCAGGAGTCCTACAGCGGATGTACACTACAATCTGCATCAGTGACTGAACTAGATTTAACAGTCCAGTGGACACTGGACGCTCCAGCTTGTTAGCACTGGAGGTAGTGCTAATGAACTTGCACTTGTTTTGAGAGATTCAATCTTTTGTTTACACTGTTGGAGAGTTCGATTGGAGGTTTTGAGGCTTCGGTCCCTTTGCAACCAGCAGTGGGCTGTTTTAGTTCATTATCTGGATACTTTCCCAGCAGGGTGGTGGAGTGTCATCTTCCTTCACCTTTGTGAGAGGGGGCAAGAATCCAGCTGTGGTCCCCAGAAGTCAAACAGAACACCACAGCTGGTGTGACTTAGTCCAGTAGTTGGGAGCCATGGTGGCTTCAGCGAGCCACAAGGAGCTCTCCAGAAATTTAGGTTTTCCATTATATTTGTACAATATAATTTATGAAAATATTGCACTGTGTGTAGAAATCTGCTGTATATTTTATTGGATTAAGAATCCTCTGCACAGTTTCATTCTTTCTTTTTATTCTTTCATAATTATTATTTAATTTCTTTGCCTCTTACAATATTATTCACTTTTCTACACAGCTAATTTGTTTTGTTAATATTACAAAAGTAACCTCCTTGGACTAAACAACTAGTCATGTAAGAAATCTGTTTCATAACACTACCGAAAGAAATTCCAAATTATTTTAATAGTAAAAAGCATCTATTTAACCAAAAGAGCAGTACAGTACAGTAAATACAGTATAATTATACTGTATTTATTGCAAACTTTTTTTCATCCCATTTGATTAACTTTTCAGACCCCTAACAGCTAAAACTACCAGTAAGTTTTATTGCTAAACAAAAATCATGCTCTCTTAATATGCTGCTAAACTGTATGCGTAAGTTACTATAGTATACTGTACTGAATATATATTTGCCAGCACCTGTTGACGTGCCTCCCAGTGTTGGGTAGCCAACACATGCATGGCACTGGCATATGTATGGAGCTCCTCTTCATGTTGTGTGTGTTCTTGCCACAACTGACTTGCATCTTCACCTGAAATATACATCATCCAGAATAATGTGCAAGCTATGTACTGTATGCAATATGAATATCTTTCCAGCTAAAACAAAAATAAGACAGGTAACTGGCAAAAAACTGAACCCTGAAAAACCTGAATTGTATAATAGCAAATGTTAGACAGAGGTTTAGTGTGTTAAGATGGAACACATTTAAACTGAAGTTAGGACGCCTTTAGGACAATGGAAAAAGAAAAATAACATAAAAACTTTCGAGTTGCTGAAATAACACAAGTGAACAAACTGCAAATAATGGTGCAGAAAATTGGATAAACAGTTGGGCAGAACTCAGAAACTCTCAAAAGAGGACAGATAACTGCATCCAAATGAATCCAAGAAAAATGTGGAAAGTCCAGGCATTAACCCCTATATTGCGCACCTTTTAAAATGACATTTCCTGTTCTGCGCCAAAAATAAATTGTTCTAAAACCAGTATTTTTTCTTTTGGTATTGTTAATTAGCACCCAGGAAGAGCAAAAGTCCAAGTAAAAAGTATCTACCTCTTTGTAATTTAACTGTAGCGGCCTGGAGAGGGAGTTTTTTTTTTTATAAAAATAAGGCGCGTTGCCGCATGGGAATAACTTAGTCAATTTATTTTCACTTTAAAGTTGTTTCTCACTTTATTTATTTAGAACAAAGATGGTGTTCTTTATGTATATCTTTAAAAATATGCATATACAGTATACAGATGTATATGTATATAAATATTATGCACACCATGTACAATATTTATTCATACAGTACTAAAATATATATACAGTACTGTATGTATATACTGCACAGTGGAACCTCGGTTTTCGAATGCCCGTTTTCAAATTTTTCGGTACTTGAGCTCAATTTCTTCAAAAAATTTGACTTGGTACTCGAGGTTTACCTTAGTGCTTGAGTTTGTTGATACCTGTATGTGTCGACGAGCGCATGGTTCTGTTTTGCTGGGCGAGGGATGGGACGATGCGTACTCAGTTTACCAGTTTATCCAGCCTAGTGATGATCACACTTGAATATTGTATTTGGGAGAACAACAGGATGAATGGTGGGGGGACTGGAGGGATGGTGAGGGGACTAGATGGATGGATGGATGGTGGGGGGAACTGGATGGATGGATGGTGGGGGGGGGAACTGGATGGTGTGGGGGGGGACTGAATGGTGGGGGGGGAACTGGATGGATGGTGGGGGAAACTGGATGGATGGATGGTGGGGGGGGAACTGGATGGATGGTGGGGGAAACTGGATGGATGGATGGTGGGGGGAACTGGATGGATGGATGGTGGGGGAACGGGATGGATGGATGGAGTGGGACTGGATGGGTTGATGGATTGGATGGTGAGGGGACCGGATGGATGGTAGGTGAGTGGAATGAGGAGCCAGGAAAGAAATAATCATGTAAAGGAAGAACACGTGGAGGGCAAGTGGGCAGGCAGGTGAGAGTGAGTGGATGGATGAGTAGCAGGACGGGTGGCAAAGTTTTAGTAGTGGGCTGTGGATAGCAGAGGCAATGGTATGAGTGGACCAGCTTCCGACTAGGACACACAGGAGCTGGTCTGGTCACTCCCAGTCCCTCCCCAAGACCCCCATCCCATAGACCGGACCCTCCCTCACTACTTCCATCCCCCCGTCCCGCACTCTTCCCCCACAACTTCCATTCTCTCATCCCCTACACTGAACCCCCCCTTGCTGTACCCCTCCCAGCCATATCGGACAGTATTTTTTTTTTTTTTTTTTTTTTGAGATATATACAAGAGTTGTTACATTCTTGTACAGCCACTGTACGCGTAGCGTTTCGGGCAGGTCCCTGGAATACGATCCCCACCGCGAAGAATCGTTTTTTCATCCAAGTACACATTTTACTGTTGCGTTAAACAGAGACTACAGTTAAGGAATTGCGCCCAGTAAATCCTCCCCGGCCAGGATACGAACCCATGACAGAGCGCTCGCGGAACGCCAGGCGAGTGTCTTACCACTACACCACGGAGACTGCATTAATAAGCTGAGCTTCCTTGCTACCAGCTGTTGGATTGGGAGGCCGACTCCCTGAGCGCCTGTCGTTAAACTCTAATGACTGGTTGCGACTATGAAAGCCTGAGTGACTGTAAAAGGCTGATTGACTGTGAATGCCTGGTTGACTGTAAATGCCTGACTGACTGTGAATGACTGACTGACTGTGAATGACTGTGAATAACTGATTGACTGTGAATAGCTAATTGATTGTGAATGGCTGATTGACTGTGAATGGCCGATTGACTGTGAATAGCTGATTGACTGTGAATAGGCAATTGACTGTGAATGCATGACTGACCCCTAACTGGTTGCTAACACAACTGTGAATGCTTGACTGCCTTTGGTTATGACTGCCTGTGACTGGTCTTGACCGTGAATGCTTGACTGACATTTGTGACTGAATTGACTGGTTCTGACTGGCTGCCACATAACAGAGGCAGTGAAATGTGTGAAAGGAAAATCTGGAACCTGTGATGCAGACATGAATGCGCTTAAGGCAAGCAGGGGACGGTCTCACCACCTCCTCCTCCTCCTCATTCTCCCCATACACCAACACCGCTCCTCCCTCCCTCCTCCCTCCTCACTGTCTCCCATACACCAACACTGCTTCTCCTCCCTCACCCCTCCTCGCCATCTCCCATATACCAACAAGAGTCATCAGTAAAGGTAAAGTGCAGTTATATGTTCACTTATTTTATTTATGGTTTATATTTATACCCAATTGTTTTGTATATGAAAAATATTCTGCATAAAATGTATTTTTAAATTAATATTTTTGGGTGTGTGGAACAGATTAATTCAATTTACATTATTTCTTATGTGGAAATTCGTTTTGGTTTTCGCACCGTCTCTGGGAACAGATTTAATTTGAAAACAGAAGTACCACTGTATATACAAACCAAGGTACCACTGTATATACAGTGGTACCTTGGTGTTCGATTGGTTGTTACACAATTTGGCAGGTTGTATTCTGGGGGAAAAATTTGGATTAAGGACCTGCTCGAAATGCTATGCGTGCTAGTGCTTTATAAAAATGTAAACTCTTGTATATAAATACAGTAAATAAATAAAATATCTTTATCAAACCTAAACAATTTATAAAAAATATTTGTTTTTAACATATACCCTGTTTGAGGTGTGACTTACTGAGAGGTTTTGGGTAATACAGTACTGTGGTCTATGTCGTCTGCTCATAAACATAATTTGAATAACTTTATTCAAAAATAAAACCAAAAAGTACCTAATTTCATCTTCATAGTTTCTTACCTAGTGTTTGAAACTCGCACTGTATCTAGTGCTACCCAATTCCCCAACGTATGTACCTATGCCATACAACTTTACCATTGTAATCATTGCGGTTATCTTATATCATGTTATACACATAATTCTGCTACATTATATCTTGCAACAATCCTCAAATTATGCTAAAATGTACCTGTGGATAACCCTTAAATTTACTTTAATGTACCTACTTTTCTTCCTGTCAAATTTCAATAAATTTATACAATTTATTTTGTTTACATTTTCTTACAATGCATATTTATACCTTCTTACAATGTATTTTTATACTTTCTTACAATGTACCAATAAGCTTTTTTTTTTAATTTTGCTAGAAATTACTTTTTTAAAATTATATGTTAGATTAAGGATCTGCTCGAAATGCTATACGTGCTAGTGGCTTTATAAGAATGTAAAACATGAAATCTCTGTACTCTCATAAACCCAATGTACCTTCTTGAATATATATATAAATAAATATATCAAGGGTCCAAACTGGACAGACTTGGGCACGTTCCCTATCCCTGATGCCTCTTCACCTAGCAGTAAAGAGGTACAACAATCCACAACTGTTGTGGACTACATCCTGGAAAAGGACAGTAGCTGGCAATATGTAACAATATGTAAATATTATTTATATATTGTACTACAATAATATTTTAACAATCCATAATGTTCAAACTAATTAACAAAACCTTGTTTTGAAATAGAGAAACCCTATACCAAGTGATTATTTTAAGTTGACTTAAGTGTTTTATGTTTCCTGTACTTTATTCCTACCTTCAGAAACTTTATATATATTATATAAAACTGATTGGTATAGATGTTATTCAGATTTTTTCATAGACTGTGAAAGTGTGATTGTTTTATAATCACACTTCCATATTCTGTATTGAAATCTTGTTGTTTTGATTATTCTTAGCAACAAAATACATTTTATTTTGGATGTTCCAAGGGAAACCTCGATAAGTCTACAGTACAAGTTTCCTGCCCCAGACCTAGCTTGTACTGCCTCCTCAGCCTCTTGTGTGTCCGCCTCACCACCTCCGCCAGCCTCTTGCCCTCCTTGTTCATTCCTCTTGTCCCAGGAGCAGTTCAAGCCTCTAGACGCAATATGTTACACACTCTACTCGTAAATTCATTGACAAACAGAAGCAGCAGCCGGCAAGCTGTCGCGCCTCACACACATATGTAAACAAACCCTTGGATAATATTTACCTCCGCTTTGGAAAATAAGTACCAGTACTGTATTGAAAATAGTTCATTAATATCCTAATATTTATTCATTCGTTTGTGTGGAGCAGGAAGCAAGTGTATATATATACTTTAGGGTTGTATCGATCCCCCCCCCCCCACAGGGCGTTGTTGTTGTTGTTGTTGATTTAGGGGCGACAACGATGGTGGGATCGGATGCGCCCCGGCGTACCCGTGATGGATGAATTGCGAAGCCTGGAAAGGTGGAACGCCAAGCCAAATCGCGAGACGAGTGACGCCAAACTCTATAAACTAATATGCCATACGGCAAATAAACGCACAGACGGGCAGATGATTGGGGAGCCCCAGGAGTCCCTCAGGGTGGCAAGCACCGGCCCCGCCCCACACAGAGAACACCAGGTAGCAAAACCAAAACTCGGCCCCCCAACTAAAACGCAGTGTCCATCCAGTGTCCCCCGGCAGAGCAAAAGCCTCAATCTCTACCCACGGTGTCACACCACCACCTAACCTCCAAACCCGTACCAATGAATCAGACCCTTCCACTGTCTCCCATCTGCCTCCCCCTCCAGGCACTCCTGACCCCCAGGAGGTCGTCACTCAGGTTTGTGTTGCAGCAATATTAGACCGCATGATAAGAACTCATCCAGTCGTCCACCAAATATTGCAAAAGCAGACGGAACATGAGAAAGCCCTCTGCCAGATTAAGACGACTCAGGAACAAATCCTCAAAAACCTGCAACGGCAGAGTCCATCAAGTGGAGGTCCTGCAATCCAGAGCCTGGTGCAAGATGATGCAACACACACTGCCGAGGACCGTCAGCAGACACAACCAGGACTCCAGCACATCAGTGCACGCAGTGACACCAGTGTAACCTGAGCTTGTAAAAGCACCTTCATCACCTTCAGTGATTAAGTGCTTAATTGCACACTAGTTTCTTTATCAGCTATCTCACCCTGTCAGAGTAAATGAGACAGATGTATGTGAATGCATGTGTGTGTATATATGTATGTATATGTGACTATATATACTAGAAATGCTCTACAAATCAAGGGGCCCAGAATGTGGAATGACCTTCCCGACCATGTTAAAGACTGTACCTCTCTCAACCAGTTTAAGTTAAAAACGAAGCTATACTTAATAAATTCCCTGTAACCTACCTTACCCTTCTATTGTCAACCAATGTCTGTTTTTCTTTAAAGAGCGCTGTTTGTCGACATAATTGTATTTGTGCTGCTTTTTCATCAGTGTTTTCATTTCTTGTTTTCATCTACTCATTATGCTCAATTAGTATTAAGCTTGTCATTTAAGTTTATCATGCCCGAAACGCTTTGCGTAATAGTGGCTTTAGGCATTGTATGTACTAGCTCTACCTATAAGTCAACCAATCTTTGTAAAAATTTATTGTATGTATGTACCTTACCTAAATAAAATATTATTATTATTATTATTATTATTATTATTAATGTATGCGTATAAAGTATATATGGAAGCTGATCAGAATTACATTTCACCTTTGTGAATGTACATTAATGACACTATGTAAAAGACACATCAAACACTTTATGTAGGGCATACGTAAATCTGTGTATCTATGTATTTACGTATGTAGGTTAGCTTAGCATTTTAAAAGCACCGAATCACCTTCTGTGGTTGAGTGTTCAATAAACCCTTGAACTCTATGTTTAACATTTCTCTAACCCTGTCCATGGAGGACAGAAGAAAATGTATATATGCTGGTTAGCATTGTAAATGTGTGGCCACGTCTGTGGTAGAAAATAATAATAATAAAAAAAAGTGTACACAGTAACGCCAGTGTACACAGTAATATCAGTGAACACAGTAACACCAGTACACACAGTAACACCAGTACACACAGTAACACCAGTATCCGTCACAACTGCAAGAAAAATGACAGGTTGGATAACAAGAACTTTTCACACTAGAGATGCTATACCGATGATGACACTTTTCAAAACGCTTGTGCTCTCTAGAGTGGAGTACTGCTGCACAATGACAGCACCTTTCAAAGCTGGAGAAATTGCTGACCTGGAGAGCATGCAGAGATCCTTTACTGCTAGAATCCACTCAGTAAAACACCTAAACTATTGGGACCGACTAAAGAGCCTAAATCTGTACTCCCTTGAGTGCAGGCGGGAGAGATACATAATAATTTACACGTGGAAAATACTAGAGGGGCTGGTCCCAAACCTGCACACAGAAATAACATCACATGAGACCAGAAGACATGGCAGGATGTGTAGAATACCCCCCCCCCCCCCCCCCGTTGAAAAGCGGAGGTGCAACCGGTACTCTGAGAGAGAACTCTATCAACATCAGAGGCCCGAGATTGTTCAACACGCTTCCGCTACACATAAGGCAATCCCCTCACAGTGTTCAAGAGAGAACTGGATAAGCACTTCCAAAGGATACCTGATCAACCAGGCTGTGAGTCATACGTCAGGCTGTGAGCAGCCGCGTCCAACAGCCTGGTTGATCAGTCCAGCAACCAGGAGACCTGGTCGACGACCGGGCCACGGGGACGCTAAGCCCCGGAAGCACCTCAAGGTAACCTCAAGGTAGGTGTCTTGTTACTAACGCTTCGATTAATAAATCCCAGTGTCCTATTTGCCTTATTACGAACATTCATGCATTGATCCTTTTGTTTTAAATTTTTACTAATCATAACTCCCAGATCCCTTTTGCAATCTCAACACTATCTAGCTCGTATCTTGTAACTCTATCATCATTACCCAGCTTCAAAACTCTACATTTATCAGCATTAAACTGCATCTGCCAATCTTTTGACCATTCTAAAACCCTATTTAGATAAACTTGAAGTGATAGTGAGTCTTCTTCCGTGTTAATTTCCCTACCGATTTTTGTATCATCTGCAAATTTGCAGATGTTGCTACTCAAACCTGAATCTAAATCATTTATATATATTATAAACAACAGAGGTCCCAGGACAGAGCCCTGAGGTACTTTACTAACAACATTATCCCACTCTGACTTAACCCCATTTATACTAAATCTCTGTTTCATTTGGAATAGCCATGCCCTAATCCAACTTAAAATAGCACCCCCAATACCATGAGCATCTATTTTTTTAATTAGTCTTTCATGTGGCACTGTATCAAAAGCTTTGCTAAAGTCAAGGTACATAACATCACAATCCTTACCACTATCAACTGCCTCAACTATGCTGGAATAAAAAGTTAGCAAATTTGTTAAACATGAACGGCCATTTGTAAAACTATGTTGCGACTCATTTATTAATTTATGTTTTTCAAGATGGAGACGAATTGTATTTGCAATTATTGATTCAAGTAACTTTCCCACAATAGACGTTAGGCTAATTGGCCGATAGTTTGATGCAAGTGATCTATCTCCTTTCTTAAAAATTGGTACCACATTAGCTACCCTCCATGACTCTGGCACTCTGCCTAACTCTATTGATTTATTAAATATGGTAGACAGTGGCTCGGAAAGCTCCTCTTTGCATTCTTTAAGCACCCTGGCAGACACTTCATCCGGCCCTGGGGATTTGTTTGGTTTTAGTTTTTAATAATTGTTTAATTACATCCTCCCTGGTAACTGCTAAACTAGTCAACCTGTCCTCATCCCCACCCACATAGACTTGTTCGGCTGAAGGCATATTGTTAAGTTCTTCTTTAGTAAATACAAATATAAAATATTTGTTAAAAATACTACTCATCTTGTCATTATCCGTTATTTGACCTGTCTCAGAGTTTAATGGACCTATCCTTTCCCTAGTCTTAGTTCGATATAACTGAAAAAACCCTTTAGGATTTGACTTTGCTTGCTCTGCTATGCGAACTTCATAGTTTCTTTTTGCTTTCCTAATCTCTTTTTTAACATTTCTAACCAGTTGTATGAATTCCTGTTCTAAACTGACTTCCCCATTCTTAATCCTTTTGTACCAAGCTCTCTTTTTACCTATAAGGTTCTTTAAATTATTTGTTATCCACTTTGGGTCATTAGTATTCGATCTATTCAATTTGTATGGTATACTACGTTCCTGTGCTTTGTTTAGAATATTCTTAAATAAGTTATATATTAAATCCACATCAAAATTCCCTTTTACGTCACCTATCGCTGGGTTCATGTCTCGCTCCAAGACCGGCCCACACCCCATACCCAAGACTTTCCAATCTATTTGGCTCAAAAAATTTCTTAGGCTATTAAAATCAGCTTTTCGAAAATCTGGCACTTTAACAGAATTTTCTCCTACAGGTCTATTCCATTCTATGCTAAATCTGATTTCTTTGTGATCACTGTTCCCTAGCTCACCCCCTATTTCGATGTCATTAATTTGTGTTTCCCTGTTAGTTAACACTAAATCTAAAATATTATATTCCCGCGTTGGTTCCTTAATGTGTTGCGTAAGAAAGCAATCGTCAATTAATTCTAGAAAATCTTCTGCTTCACTATTCCCTGTTTTGTTCACCCAGTTTATTCCACTAAAGTTAAAGTCACCCATGACATAAATACTGTTAGATCTAGATGCTCTAGATATTTCATTCCAAAGATGCTTTGCTTCCATTCTGTCTAAATTTGGTGGCCTATATATAACTCCTATTATAATATTATTTGCTTTTTCGTTTAATTCTATCCAAATAGTTTCTGTGTGTGGCTCAGTTTTGATTCCCTCTTTGAGACTACATTTCAAATTGTCCCTAACATATATGGCTACTCCCCCTCCTCGTCTAATATATCTATCTGTGTGAAATAGTTTAAATCCATTTATTTGATATTTAGCTAATAGTTCTCTATTTTCTACATTCATCCACGTTTCGGTAAGTGCGATAATATCTATTTTTTCTGTGCAGACAAGAGCATTTAATTCGTTAATTTTATTTCTTAGACTTCTACTGTTAGTGTAATATACCCTAAGTGAATTGTTATTTTGAGGCCCTTCTCTTTCCCTGATCATTTTGCAATTCCTTTCTCCCA